AGTAGTAGAATCTCTTTCTGCTAACATGATGTAGCTCTTAGATTACGCAGTCTGGCTCTGGTTGGTGCTTCATTGTGTCTTCACCCCCTGCAGGTTTCCAGGTTTCTCTCCTTACATTTTGCATATGTGCTCAGTGCCATTAGTAACCCATTTCTGTGACCAAATCAAAGTGGGTAAGCTCTTGATATTAAAAAACCTATGCCTAAACAGACCATCACTGCCTACCAGAGGCTGACTGACCTTTGACCTAAAGAATCCCTGTTGCAGCACAACCAACTATTGCTCAAGCAGGAAAGACAGACTTGGATAAAAGCTGCACTGCCCACATCTGACCCAATTTAACCGTTTTGTCCTGAACCTTGTTTTCACTTTTCCACATGGTTTAATGTCCCCAGACTTGTAATTTCAGGCTACAACCAAACAAAATCTTGCGACCAGGAGGGGGGTTTACAGCTTCACCTCCTGCTGTTTGATATCTTTCATAATATAAAGTCTGTTGCTGGAGCAAATATTATGTAAACATAACTCTGCAGCTGAATTGTCCTCATGATTACAGTTGAACTGGGGAAACTTGGCACAAAGTTTTATGGTAAAGATGCTCATAAATCAGTGGTTTGGTGGTGTTCAAACATTTCAGCTTCTGATCCACAAAAGACGGCTAAAAAGCCAATTAAACAAGGATTAAAAATGCGCCATAAATCCTGATTTTTAAGATCTGCGGAACGTCCTTTTTCTCCTGCAGCCGTCAAGTTGAAATTCTGCTGAGCAATTAATTAAACATTTATTTGGCATCCAGAAAATCCCCCATTTGATGTTTCTTGACCCAAAGTGGTGTCCTAACCTCTAACTGGAAACCACTGCTGTAACTATGGTTACGACTGGAATTTACTGAACTCCAGTGGGATGAGTTCAAATGTGAAAGGAAAATCTGTTTGCTCCTGGAGAATAAAGCTGTCTTATCTTCTCCAAAAACTAAAATCCAAAGTAATTATTTTGTAAATCCATCATCTTTACGAGTTTATTTACAATACTTTTAGTGTAACCTTTTAGTGACCTTTCACCGATGACAGAAATCCAACTCAACGTCAATCAGCTGTTATTATCCAATAAAGTATGTTGGATTTGGAGTAAAAAATATTAAAAACAGAAAAATGATACTGACAATAAGCCAAGAAATTCAATACCTAAAACACTGCATTGTTCACATTCTGGTTTAAAAACAAAATGCTGGGTACAGTCAGTTTAAAGAAAGTCTTACAGTTTCATCACATAAATTATCTTTAAATGGGCTTTTTCAGATGTTAAAATGATCCTTAATGGTGCACAAAACCCCAGATTCACAATCTCCACAGTTAATGCAGCTTCTTCTTCAAAACCCGCTTCCTTTAATTTCCCTTTTATCTACTGTTAAGCTTTGTTCCTTTTTATTTAAATAGAAAATAAGAACTGTTAATTCATATACTTTTTTCTCTAAGTCTGTCACACAAAGGAAGAGCATGTGTGACAAGTACTACACATGTTACTGATTAGTACTGATCCGTAAGAATGTTCTATAAATTAGCATATGACTGAAAAGCCCATATATTTCAGGAACCTTATCACTAATTGAAGAACATTATTAAACACAGATGAGTATTTGAAAGCCTTCAGTTCTGTTAGTTATGATTATTTCCCATATTGGAAACGTGATGTTTAAAATCAGATTATTACATCAGATCAATAAAACAACTATTTCTAACTATTTCTAAAAACAGGAATGTGGACTTTTGGAAACGTTTGAAAACTGCTCAAATGTTATTTTCAAAAGGTATTTTCAATCTGATAAACGAACCTCATCTGAATGAGTATTCTGATTTATTCAACATGACAGTAAGTGTCATTTTCTTGCCGACGTCATGTTGTAGCTGTCTGTTTTAATTCAAGAAGCACAATGAAGAACGGGATCAAACTAATTAAAATTTGTTCTTTTCTTTTTAAAAAAACATTATTGCTGCAACGTAATTACATGAATATGGACCCTAAATGTTATACGGAGCAAGCAGTTATTTGTTTTATTAATTACAGTTTGTTCTATGCGACCTCTCTCTGAGCCTTCCCCAAAGTCCATGTTCTTTGCTTTCTTGGCAAAAACACCATGTAGCTGAGCCCAGAGGATAAAACCCAGACATTAGCTAAAATAGACATTATGGCTTGCAAATAGATTGAGGAAAACACTGCTCCCATCCAGAATACACTTCTGCTTCCCAAGCAGACCGGTCAGCTGGGGCTTTTGGTCCTAAATCAAATATGGAAAGACTAGTACCATGCATAATACAGCATTAGGTCAATCTCCTCCTGATGTTTGGATTGTAATTAATGATTTACTTTAATCATAGAGTCGAGAGGCTTTCAAATATTTACACGGTATTTGCTTTTGTTTTAAATTTTTGAGTTTTTCTCCTTATATTGTGTTTTCCCCTCCTCCCCCCCCTTTCTCTCCATGTAATGGAAGACTTTAGAGCAGAAAACAGATGATTTCACTTGTTTGAATCGGCATCCCAGGGTGGAGGATCTCGGCAAGCTTATTAGCAATTAAAACTTATGGTCCGAGTTTGATGAAGTTTGAGGAAATGCATGCGCAATGAGGTCTTGCTCGGTGTTGTTTTTATTTTTTTTGTTTTGTTTTGTTTTTTTGCTTTTCCTTACATCACCAAAATGATTTGGTTTTCAGGCGTAGGATTTCTCAAGGTGCATCGATAAAGATAAAGTGTATCTCAAATTCATTCTGCAACAGAGGCCTGGCATGATCCGTGTTTCTGTGTATTTATTTTTAAGGGTTTTCTGTGTTCAGTTTCTGTCCTGTGTCTTCCCCCGTTGATTGCTTCCCAGGTGTGTCTAGTTACCTGATTACCCTCCCTGTGTATTTAAACCCACCTGTTGTCTTTGTCTCTTGTCGGGTCTTTGTCTATGATAGTTTGTCTGCCGGCACAGTTGAACTGTTAAGTCCTGTGTCGGCATTAGCTCGTCACGTCAGACTTTAATTCAGTTGCTACCGGTGCTGAGCCTCTGAGTTTCCGCTCTGCTGTGCTGCCTGAGATATGGACTGTTTTTGAGCTACACTCTTCATTAAATTCATCATTTTCTTCTACAACCTGGGTCTCTGCATCTCTCCCCCCCCCCCCCCCCAACCCCTCCACATGACGAGGCCGGAAAAAAAAAAACGGAGCAGATTTCTGAAAAATTTGGCCTCATCATTCACATGAAAACACGCTCTGCATTTATTCCAAACAAACCTTTAACAGCTGACGTTGTCAACATGCCTGAGCTAACTTCAATGAAACAAACATGAGGTAATGCGGACATTAATGCGGCGAACGTCACCGGTATGAAGGATGCTGTGTGTCTTGGAAAGCAGAACCCATTAGGCCGCATGCAACAGTCTGGTCCGTCAGGTCTGTGTCTGAGAGAGTAATGACTTTGGCTGCGGCTCTCGCCAATAAAAAGGACCTCTCTTCAACCTTCTCTGAGTTGAAATCCTAAATATGTGCCTCCAGGGAGAGCGGCCCGATGGACACTGACAGGTCTGTCAGCGGCGACGTGTCAGCGACGGTTTTCACCGTGCAAGTCATTGGTGCCTTTCACAGGCGCTCACGTTCATACTGTATTTGGTCAACTTGGGACTCGCATTTTTACACTCCAGCCTAATAGGTTGAGATAATACGGTTATTTTCCCTTTGCCAATTCAAACCACAAGACAGAGTGGGGTGCGTATGATGTCTTTGTAGAGTTTCTCCTCACTTTGTGTCTTTGTGATCCCAGAGTAAATCACAAATCATCCTCAGTGTTTCCTCGTTTACTCAAAGCAGGCGTTCTTGTTGGTTTTCATCTTCATCTCGGGATCTGGGTTAGAGTCTGTGCTGTTTGGTTAGTGAGTGGACTGCAGCTGGATTAAAATGATCCAACTTATGCCAAGTGAACTATTAGCTAAGGAATGTTAAGAATTGATTCTGTGATTGTTGTCAAAGGTTCTATGTTACACGGTTTACTGGAAGGGCACTGAAACATGTTACGACCAAAATTATCAACAAGTCTTATCAAAACAGAGTCAAGTAGGTAGCGTTTGCTTAGCATCTCACTAAACCCCGCCACACGTGTGTGTTTACATGACTGGTATATATACACATGCTGCAGATGTTTGCATTCCAGCTGCTCAAAAATGAGCATTGATTATCCTAAACCCCACTAAAATGTGAGCTTTAAGTGGAATCTGCGTGGTTTAATCGTTCAGTTCCAAGGAAAGTGGTTAAGCCGCAGAATAAAGGTATCACAAATCGCAGGTTTTCCTTTAGAGAACCCAGGATAATCTAGTCTAATATTGGAGATTTAAATGTTTCACTTTTGGAAGTGAAAGTGATTTTAGTCCAGATGGCATAAAAACTGTGAAATTAATCAGAAGCCGTCTCTGCATCATATTATTTGATGGTTTGGAGAATATAAAGACTGTAAAACCTAACTAGGTACATGTTTTGTCATCAAATGTTCTGCTGGAAAAATTGCCTTAATCGCTTGCTGTTATAAGATTTCCAGTGCATTTTTTTTGTGTGTGTGTTTTTGTTTTGCTTTGTGGCGACTGTTGCTAAATGTGTTCTTTTTGGGGATTTTTTAAAAACTCTCTCAGCTATTTATGGAGTTGCTCACACTGCAATGCCTTGTTCTGTGTTTTTTACTTTTATTTTATTTTTTCTTCACTTGCAGTAAAAAAAAGAAAAACGTAAAAGTTTTGTTACTGTCTGTCAGGAGATGGTAATGAGAACCATAGCAGACGAATTGTTATTCTGGTATGCAGTTTGCTCTTCTTTTATATTCAATCTGACTCGTACAGATATTTCTGTGTATCCATGCAAATGTTTGGCTGACAGTTCAATTTATTGTGGATTGGGAGCACAGAGGTTAGGGTGTGTGTGTGCGTGTGTGTCTGTCTCTTTTCTTTTTCTTTCCTCGCTGGCAGCCGCGTCTCAGCAGTTGGCAGCAGTGACCAGAATAAAAACAGCAACACCAGACTCAGAGTGGGTGGGGGGGAAAGCAGAGTCGTCTCCCCTCTTGTAATGACACAGCGTCTCCCCCGTATCTTTTTACCTTTCTCGCTCTACTTGTCCGCTCTTTGAGACCTCGGGGAAGAGGTAATTAGCTGGGAGAGAATAAAACCAGCTGATCGGGAGAGGGGTGGTGCATTCTGGAGAGAGATGGCTAACAGAAACGCTCTCTTGCTCGTCTGTGGAGTCGTCCTCCTAGCGTTGATTCAGTCCTCTCTTCAAGGAGGTAAGTGTGCAACAGGTGAACTCTGCAGGAATTTGGGCTGCATCAGTCACAGACTTGGCACAGGCATACTTTATGCATTTAAAAAAAAAAACATTTCAAGCTTAAGGTGATCAAATTAAAGCTTTTAATTTTTTTTAAATTAATTTTTCATTTAAATTCATGTCGTTGTTTTTTTGTTAAAGTGCACTTTAATGTTTTCTCCTGTGAAATAAAAGTTAAAGTTTAGTTAAATAGCGGTGCTTTTTGAACTGGATTTTTCAAAGTGACAGATCAGCAGTACCAAGGTGAAAACAGGCAGTGAATGCAAGTGGTGTCATTATTTTTGCTTCATATTTGCGTCAAATATCTGTTGCTGGAGTTTTAGAAAAAAAAAAAAGGAAAAAAAGTGAAGATCTCTGCTCTCCCATGGTCGCGTGAATCCAACCAGACGTCTGTGTCCAAAGATTTTAACTTGTTATTGGATCTTAAAGTAACTCCTGCACTAGATAATAATCCTGGCCTCTTGTCATGTTGTGCAATCTGAAGCTGAATTTTACTGCGTTGGTTCGTTACTCGGGCTCGTTTCTCATGGGTCTGCACATTTTATCGTATCTCCCATAGCCGAACTGGCTCCTGCACACACCTTTGCATGTGCATGTTCACTTGGCCCCAGATCCCATCCTTAAAAAATGTCAGACCCAGAAGCTTCCAGCTGGCCTCTCTTTCTGTTCAGAGAAACCACACACAGATTGAATACACCCCTGGCGAACCCTCTGGGTGGATCAGCTCGCTGCGAGGGTCGCAAAGAAAGCTTTGACTAGATAGTCTGTTGTTGCAGATATGAGAAAGTGGCTTCGAGTGCAGCTTGAAGTCACGCCTTATCTGTTTTAGAAGGAGAGGAAGAAGAGAGCGAGGCTGTGAGCATGCCTTTTCCTCCCACTATCATTCAGCTCGCAAGATTTGTTTTTCCTCCTCTGTTTTGCGTTGCTTTGATTGGTTCTCGGTCTGTGTTTTGGCCGAGAGTCTTGAAGTTATTCAACCTCCAAATGGAAAACATGTTAATCATCCGAGCTATAAATGCTGCCGTGAATCCCATCTTTTGTTCTTTTTTATTTATCAGCTTAAGAGTCACAGCTGTTTGTCCTCACTATCCTCCAGTGTCCCAGCTCCTTTTTTCTGAAATGTAATTTTTCCCAAAATAAATATTTAGTGAACCTACAGTAACATTCTCCTCGTTCCAGTTGCCCCTTTCAATCAGCCCGTGTGGTGAATAATTTGCCGGCTGTCAGTTCGAAGATCGTGTCGTCTCTCTCTTTTACCTCGCCCTCCTGTACAACATTCATCTTTTGCATTCCATGTTTCAGCTGAAGTTTTGAGCTGCTGTCAGGTTAAATATGCGGCACGAAAACAGAAAAGAGCCAAAACATTTCAATACTGACTTTGGAGCACAACTTTGATCTCGAGCGAATATTGAATCCATATCTATCAAACATTTCTGCGAGGCTTAAAGTAGATCCATCTGTGCGTGCCCTTTAACCTGATAAAAATGCCTCTGTGCATGGTCCAAGGGTAAATTATCTGTGAATAACATGAACCTCATTAACGCCCCGCACGCCCATTCAACTCTCCTGGCCAGAAAACACCTCTTTATGTCTGAGAAATTCAGAATTGCGGTGTGAAGCCAGGCCTGTCTGAAAGCTTTCCATCGACAAGAATAAATGAGTTATGGTCTTAGAGGAAACATCTGGCGTGTTTTTCATTAATATATGTGCCCCCTCCCATGCTACTCGGTGTCTGTTTTGCTGGTTCCCTGAAACACTGCAGAATTGTAATTTGTTTTATTTTTGACACACTGGAACAATTGAATCTTTATGCAACTTTTAACACTGGACAAGGATAAACTGAGTAAATATAAAATACAGTTTCAAAATTCAGATTTTATTTATGAAGAGGGAAAAAGTTAAATTAACTGATTAACCACATTTTCCTGCAACAACCATCTATCAATAGGAAAAGGGTAATAAACCAAAACTGATCTCACATGTAAATGATCCCAAATGCTTTTGAGAAAATATTCTAACAGTGTTTCAGAAAATAACATCAGTCAAACATGGTGGCGGTTGCATGATGCTCTGGACCTGTTTAACGTCTTCTGCTGCGATCCACAGATCTTTGTCTGAGCCAGTTTTGTTTTTGGATTGTTTTAGACACAAAAGTTTGTTCTTTTGTGTTGAGACTCTCAGGGTCTCTTATAATTTTTGCTTCTTGGCGTTATTTTTCGACCAGCGACGTCAAAGTCTGGTCCACATGAAAAAGTTGCGGGCCACCAGCTCTCGAGGACTGGAGTTTGACTCGTGTGATTTAGACTCTCTTTCACATATTTAGGTTTTAGTTTAGTCATGTGTGTCTTGCTGCACTCGTTGACTTCTCTCAGCACCACCATTCATTTTGCATCACTGCTGGCACTAGTGAAGCCCATTCACAGCTCCCAGCTCAACTGTTTGTATGAATCTAGGGAAATAGATTCTCCATTGAAGGAGAGCTTTTTTTTTAGTGTAGCTGGAAGCCAATTTGTCTCCTTTGGCTGTAGCCAGATCAGTTTATTATGCAAATCAGTGAAATTCGCTTGCCATTTATTAAGCTTGTTGAAAATATCTCTAGACTGGTGGACAAGATGTTCGGTCCAAAAACATGAAGTAATTGTAAATCTTTTGCACCTGAACGATAACCTTGATGCTCCAGGACTTTTTGGTAGCATGTTATGTTCTTCTCTTTGGCTCCGTTCCCCCTGTTCTGCCAAACTAACGGGCCGGTGAAAGCTTATTGAATGTGACATTTACTGTATGGGTCCCATCACTCAACAGCTCCGCTCTGCTTTTAAAGAAACAGACCAACTGAGCCCAAGTTCGGACAGAACCCAGACTGTTCTCTCACAGTGAGGTTTTAATTTTGCTTCTTTATTGCTTGATCCACTAAAGCAATTTAATTTGTTTATATTGAGTGGCTTTGTGTGATTTTGTAGCATGATGACTTCATTCTGAACACATTAGGGACGATTCTGTTTGCTTTCAAGCACTGATTGAACTCCACTTGTTGTTGTGAAAGTACTTTTTGTAGGTTAAGCCCGGGTTTTCATAAGTGAGGTTCTCATTTAAGGATTCGGTTGCTAATAGCTCACTTTCCATAATTGACTCGATTAACATCCTCACTTTTTATAAATCCAGACTGGTTTCTCCGGGACTAAAGTGCTGTAACGTAAGAGTGGAACTATATGGTCATTTCTCAGGAGTCAGAGCTTGTTACTCACCTCAAAATTGTTCAATTTGAGCATCGTGCAAGAGCAAAAAGAAACCAAAGCCAAATGCTAGATGCAACATGAGATTGAATTCGTCTTAGCTTTTAACAATCTGGCAGGTTTTTAGCTTTAGTCACTCGAAATAAATCTGTTTTTATACAAAGTGAGGGCACAAAATAAAGCTTTTTGCTGCTCGTAGTCAGCAAAGCCCAACTCTAACATGCAAACAGCTTAATTAACTGGTCAGAGATGTTGTCTTGGCAATAGAAATCCACTTACAACTTCATTCCCCTTGGACTATTAATCAGCTTTAGGTTCTTGCAGAAACTAATCTGTGAATACAGATGAGGCTGATAAATAGAGATCCATCGACTGCTCTAACAATCTTTTAGCTGAACCTCACTTCAAAGCATCTGAGCTATCTATTTAGGAGGGACACTTCCATCCACATTTATAGATTCACATCAAAATCTCAGCCAGAAGCGATTGCTAACATGTTGGCTAACGGTTTTTCCTATCAAGTTTTTATTATAACTGCTGTCAAAGGTTTTGCGAGGATTACACCACAGATTTATGAATGGATCCATTGTTTTAATACATGGTCCGTTTAATCCGGTCCAGTCCCTTCAAAAAATTAAATGGACAACTTTGTAACGTCTCAAATTCTCCCAGATTTCTCCTCCTGAGGCCATCGCTGTCACGACAATGTTTCCGTGAGGGGCGTTTCCATTGTTTTCCCTCATCATCGTTGGTGCTTCTAACACTTATCTGCACAGCGTTTACTGTTTAGGCTTAGATAAAGTCAGTTTTAACGTCTCACAGTCGTGTGTTTGGTCTGTAGTTAGTCTGTGCCAAATCCTCAAAGAAGAAGCACATTAACTCACCAAGCTGTGATCTATCAGAAGCAGACTCGCTGCAGTCTGGACTGGCTCCTGTCGGGAATGTTTTCATTCTCCTTCAGGCACTATTGATGTCCAAGATCTTTTAAGTTTAAAGACAACATGACAAGATTGAACACTATCATACTTTTTTTTTTCTTTTACTGGCTGAATAAATACCAGTAACTGAAACCTTCCTCAGGGCTATTGATGCCCTTTAATAAGTCTGTCAAATTAATCACTACACATTTGAACTGTTTGTTCCACCAGCTTGTATCGATTACTCATAGTGAATGGTTATCTTAACGCACGGCTTTAAACCATTCTGTTTGGGTTTTTTGTTGTTGATTCAGAAGACAGGACTTGCCTAATCTTGTAATGACTGCCTGTCTGTCAGCTTCTAGAGAAACAGCTTCTCTCAGTTCGTTGGAAGGCACAGAGTTACAGGATTTGTGTCTCGTCTTTGATTCTTACTTCAATGCTTTAGGGAAGCAGAGACAAGGTTGGACATGACCAAGAGAGATGGTGACGTAGGATAAAATTTATTTTGTGAGATGCATTTGACATGTTCTTGCTTCATCCTTGCTATGTAAATAGTATAAAAGTGACAGTAGGTCGGCTTTGCCGAGTCTGGTACTAGCATGGTTACCTAAATGCACTGTACATCGGATCGGCTGCACCGATCCAATGAGTAATGCGACCTGTATCCGATCTTTTCATGACAGTCTGAACAGCACAGTGGAGATTCTTTTCGAATGCGACCCAGGCCAATTGCATATCCGATACGTGTCCAATTCAAATGCCACCTAACGTCGCATTCATCCGACCTGAACGTCACTTATAATCGA